TGTTGCAGAATGTGACTGCCACTCGAAGTGTGAATAAATATGTCGCCTAAAATATTGAACTTTACGCTCTACCTTGACAGATCCGTATTGGAAAAAGTGTGAAAATTCCAAGAGTTTTGCGGCACACTGGCGCAAGTGTCAATAATATTTGATATACAACATTGGAAGCAAATTGACTTTATCAATCCTTGTCTAGTTTTTCTTTAATTTTATATTTTATATTTTCTAGATTTTTTATTTCATCACTAACGTCAGCAGGAGTCGGAAAATGAAAAATGTAGCGACACGTCTAAATATGAACTTTGCCAGCTAATGCTGTCTAAAACGTAATTATTTTCAATATCGAATAACTTATAAGTTCGAATCACGTTGAAGCCTCTGTATTTACTTTCATAACGCTTATCCGCTGATCGCATAATACTCACAAAACTACTTATATATCATTGGGTGAATTTAAAAGGATTTAAATGCTTACGGTGACATCAGGTTGAAACACCGATTCTCGTGCCATCACCGAAAATAAGCAACTTCAAGTCTGGTCATTACCGAGAAGGGTGACCGTTTGGAAATAACAGGTGCTGTGAGCTTGGATGAGCGAGAGCTATAATAGACAATGGCTCGGAATCGTTAATCTGAAAAAAAGAGTTCCAATTTCTGTTAAGTTCTTTATATTCATTTACGCTCAAATAACCTTGAGAAAGTTATGAATCCACTTTATTAGACACACATCTATGGGTTAATTAATAAAACTTGCCTCACTAAACGATTATTATTTCCCTAAAAATTCTGACAATGTTAAAAGTATTTTTTGGTTTTAAATATCCTTCAATGTGTTGATAAACCGTGAAAATCAGATCAATCAAAGATGTTTTAAATAAGAAGTTGCCAAATTTTAGCGGTTGATTACCGGAGCTGTCGTTACCATCTCCGAGAATAAAATAACCCTTATTAAAGATCACAGTTATTAAATCACCAGAAACATAGAAGCTCCTAACAAAACTAGGGCACTGGTAAAATATGACTATTATCTTTATCTGCTTATTAGCAGGATATTTTTTGTAACGAATTAGGGAATTCTTAGAAGACATTTTTGTGAAATGCCATCACGACGGTAATCTGGAATACGCCGTTTAAAATCCTCAAGATTAAGCTGAAGCGACAAGAATGTTTTCCCCACAAAACTGACAGAGAAAATGTCCTTTTTGATAACAATAATCACTTGCAATGTAAAGCTGATTTATTACGTGTATCAAAACCAAAAATAGCTGTGGCTTCTATAGGTGTTTTCTTTACCTCGCCTGAAGCAGAATCACACCTGCGGAATAATCTTTTAATCTATGGTTGGTGATATTCAAATATGTTTCTTATTCATTTACGAAATAATGTCTGAACAAACAGGCGTAATGCAAAGTTACAGCGATGAAATAGTTTGAATTAAGAATTAAAACAGAAAAATAAAACAACCTTCGTTTTCACTGAGCAAATTATTCAACCGTTACTTTTTCGACATGAAAACGCCGATCCCCACGTTGTTAATGGGGCGCAGCAAAAGACGATTTGGGATGTAAATGTATTACACAGATATTTCAACCTCTGAATGGAACTTGTTTCACTTCAGGCGACATATTTTGTTTGGCTAAGGTGTCCAAGATAATGAAAATATTGAATGATTCCTCAAAGAATTAATTGAATCTAAAGCGATATCGTTATTTTCAGATATAATACACAATTTTTTCACTAAAATAGTTGTTATGAATAGAATCATATAAAACTATTTGATAAGGAATTTATTTACATTGAATAACGCAAAACGCTAGAATTACTTTTTTGAATCATTTTTACGGCAAGCATGGCAATAGAGCTAATAAGGAGCAAGGGACTTACTAAGAAATGAAGGAATATAGGAAAAAAAGTATTATTAATGAGAAAAAATATATAAAAGGACAGGAATTAAGAATACAGAAGATAGCGACTGACATTGTATTTACATTTTTGCAGATCAAATTTGGCTGGTAAGAAAGAAGACGAAAGAGAGTTTCATACGAGAGAAGTTCGAGAGAAGAAACTTTTATTATAAGGCATAGAATTTAAGTTACTTACAGCAAAGAAAATAGTAAATTTTCGAGAGCCATGATCACCCACGTGGAAAAACAACCGATAAAAAGAACATCGTGTGTATTCGTTTATGACTCGATTAACCTTTGATGTTTAACTTTACACAATATGGGCAGTTCCCGTGTCCAGAAGGCGTCCCACGCGTCTCCCACGTATCATTGTATTTGGAGAACGCGCCAGCAACAAGAGAATACGCGGATGGCCAAAACAGCGCTTTACGGATCTGTTGGTAAAAAAAAAAAAAGACAGATAGAGGCAACATCGACTCTGATACCTGGGAAATCGTTGCTGCAAATCGGCCTTTTGCGTAGGACCAGCCGAGGTGCGGAGGGCAGAGACTTTTATGTCCAACTGTCAACATGAAAAGGATCTGTGACGTGCAGCCAGGATGACTAGACTCACCCAACCGCGCCCACTACCCACACTCCCCTGTAACACTAGCTCCCGACTCTTCAGAAGTAGGCCCGGCCTTTACAGATCTCCGCCATCGCCACAAGTAAAGAGAATGGGAATAAGGAAATAGGATGACGATCCTGATGTTCAGATGAGAGCGGGTGCTGACGACAATACACAATTTGCCTTATCTGCTTATCATTTGATATTCCGCACTGTAACGAAATGTTGCTTAACAAATTAGTGTAAACAACAAACGATTTTATACCATTTAAAATATATTTTCGGAAAACAATTAATAATTGAAATGGGTAGACGTAACCGCAGGTTATATGCTAAGAGTTTCTTCAGTATCTGTCTATATTTCTGAGATGAGGTATTATGTACATTATTTACATTATTCGGACTATTGTCCTCATATTTGTTGCTATATTTATTAAAACGTTGTCCTCAAGGACACATGTCACAGTGGATAAAGGCGTTGGTGAGATCCAGTGACAGGACCCAAAGAGTGTGCGTTCAATACCCGGTTAAGGCAGTGGAGAACTTTCAGAGGGAAATTAACAGGAGATAACTGATAACTGGCATCCGTTAAACATGGCACGTGGAACTAGAACCGTCTACACCAGTAAGCAAAATAAAGGGTTCAATTCGACATTCCAAACATCTGAAGAAGGCCGGAGCGTACAACGGCCGAAACGTTGTAATAAATGTGCTGACAAAGATGAGGACAATAGTCCGAATAATGTAAATAATGTAACAGTTTCTTCTCTTGTAATTCTCGCTTGTTGAATTGTTTTGCTGGTTCTTTCTTTCCAGCCAACTTTGATCCTCAATAATCTCAATGCAGTTGTCTATCCTTATCGCCTCTCATCATACCTGTTTCTTTACTGTTATCTCTATTTAATAATGTTTTCTTTTTTCTCATACCATCTCATATTCATTACGTCATTGCATCTTAGTGGTTTCCTTACCTTACTTGGTGTGAAATGATTCAAAAATTAACGTCTCTCTTCCATAAAATATTTTTCTTCTTTTATACAAGCTCTGTTATTTCAGAGTAATAATGTCACCCCACAATTTACTTCCCTTTGTTGCTCTCTTTATATTTCTCCCCAAATCCATGTTCTTCCATTTATTTACACAAACTCTTTAGGTAGGTTAAATGTTGCTTTCCTCTATCAATCATATCTACAATATGTCCAAAGTGTCACATTTTTCAGGCCAAATTTTCTTTAAAGGCATCCCATAATTTTTAGCTGTCTCCGTCTGATCTCATGTATAATTGTCGATTTTGTTGTCATTTCCCTTAAAAATTCCTCAGTGTTTACATGTTCCACCCACGGAATTCTACAACATCCTTTGTAGAACCAAGTCTCTGTTGTCGCAAGTTTTCGCTTCGCCTGCGAGGACATTATTTAGGATTCTTTATCATATAGGTAAACTTATATTACGTAGGAGTTAAACATTTATTTCTTTACTTTTAAAGATTTTTTTTTATTTCTTAATATTTTGTTCAACTTTTCGAAGGCATCATTTGTTATTTCAATGTGTCTTTGAATTTGCTGTCATCCTTTCTGACCTCTGTTGAAACACTTCCAGAAATTTAAACTTTTGTTGTTTTTATTTTTAATTTTGACATATCCAATTCCAAACTCGTATCTTGGGATTTTTCTCTTGCTGACAACCATACATTTATTTTCTTTGTTGATAATCTTTTCTTCTATAAAATGTGTGTGAAGTTGAAACACTGAATACTAACATTGACATTATTACCATTTCACCGAAAACTCTCATAATTTTATTATCAATTAGACTACCCATGACCCGTTCAGTCACTGACGGCTCTGGTTATGAAACATTGAAGTCGATTTCAAAATTCCATAGAAATAAAAGTCAATTATTCTTATGATTCAGTTATATATCTCCATTCGTTCATATTATCATTGGTCTGGTTTAAAAGTTCATGTTTAACGTTTTACTGATTGTATAAAACATTTAATAGAAAAAGAACTTCCGGCATAAACTTGAACTTTAAATCAGATTAACTTAAATATATATTTTGATATACAAAAAATATTTAAAAACCATATTCAATTGAAAATATTCTTTACACATGCTAAAACACTTTTTTTTTAAATATTTAAAATATTGTCTTTTAAAGAAAGTGGAATAATAATTATTCTACAAACCACTGAACACAAGAGCAAAGCAGGATCTCTTTGTGAATGTCTTTCACATAAAAATATTTTAACTAAAAACAATGTCTGCTTGAAGATATTTAAAATAAAAAATACTTATTTATAAACAACTCGTATTTTGAAATCTTATTCACTCTACGTAACATTTAAATCAGATTAAATTAAAATATTTTTTAAATATCTAAAATATTGTTTATTTAAGGTAAGCTGAAATATAAATAATTATCAGACTAACTTTATGCGCTGGCCGCCCGGACGCAAGAAGCACACACGCAATCACAGGCTTTAGTGTTAGATAGATAGATAGATAGATAGATAGATAGATAGATAGATAGATAGATAGATCTGGCTACTTTTAGGCCAACATAAACCGAATCTAATAGATAGATAGATAGATAGATAGATAGATAGATAGATAGAAAAAAAGAAAGAACAGATAAGTTTTAGGTCAACAAAAAGACTGTAATAGATAGATAGATAGATAGATAGATAGATAGATAGATAGATAGATAGATCAGGCTATCTTTAGGCCAATATAAACCGAATTTAATAGATAGATAGATAGATAGATAGATAGATAGATAGATAGATAGATAGAAAAAAAGAAAGAAAGGACGGACGGACTACTTTTAGGTCAACATAAAGACTGTCATAGATAGATAGTTAGATAGATAGATCCATAGATAGATAAATATTCATTTACGTGTCTTTATTATAATTCTGTTTCTCCCTCCCTTCGTTAGTTCTTTTCTTTGTTTGCACAATAGTTACACTCTGTAAACACTAGATTAAAAATGGACTATTTCGTTTCGACCACGTGAAAACACGGAAATGACATCTTCAGAGTCGCTACTTGCTTTCATGAGAAAATGAATGAGTGTAAAAAAGGAAAAGAAGGCTACAATAGGAGAGTTTAACGTCTGTTTCAGGAAAATGAAAAATGTTGCCAATTTCAAACATTTTCCATTTGTACCTCCTTAGTTCTGAAATATCGACCAGCCTTTATAGTGATTTTCTAAGCGTAGCTCAGGCTGAAATTGTAGGGTCTGCAGTGAAGATTGAACTCGTTACTCAGTCGTAGTTGACCTAGCGAGTCGAGCTTTCTAATTATTACACCACGTCGAAGTAATCAGTATTTGTATTTATGATTGTTATTGCAATATTTTGTTAGATATCTGTCAGATATTTAACGAAGCGATAGGGGAAATTCTACGACTATTTTATTGTCGCACAACTCGCCATGAGATTATGTAATCAGTAACTTAAGAATTAAGATTCATCAGAATAATAAAATAGGAAAACCCATAAATTTTCACGAGTCTTTCTAATTCATTTTTAAAGTGTTTGCACACTGTTGTAGCGAATTTAGTTCATAATGGCACCTATAAAAATGATACAAATGGAAAAATCTACATCTGATTATTGATCTTATAATCTCTTTTCTATACATGGATCCTTGGAATCAAAACTTCTCTTTTTCTTTATTACTTGATACGAATTCTGTGATGGGGGAAGCGTAAACTTTGTCTTCTTGACGGTAGTCCAAAATGGATGTTTATAAATATCGCATGGCCGGTACTTATATTGTTTTTACTTCACCGGTTTCACTACCGGTGATCAATTCTATTCGTCCCGTCTTTTCGGTGGGCCTATCTTTCCTACAATGGGGTTGTGGTAGAGTCACTGACATCAATGATGTGTATTTGACCTTTTCCGAATAACTGAATCAGAAATAAGGAAACAGACAACAATAGTTCTTTGATTCGAAATTTAACTTTAAATAGATTACAATTAAACAACTACCGGTGTTCAATTTAAGTTGTTTAAATAGTTTGTTTTTCACTCCTGCCATTTTTCTTATTTTTCCACTTCCGCTATTTTTACCTGTGCCATTATTGAAGTTATTGCAGTATAATACTTTTGTTCTAAGATTCTCTAATATGGATAACCTAAAGAAACAAAAAAATATATATCGCAGCTACTAATTGTCACTAATTACATATGGATGCAATTCTAGTTTTTGTTATGACTCGTGGCATGGTGACCCTGCCACGCCCTATAGTGATTTCCAAAGCGTAGCTCAGATATGTCACAAGGCCGAAAGCATGGGCCACCTAGTGAGGATCGAACTCACTACTCAGTCGTAATTGTTCTAGCGAGACAAGCTTGCTAACCATTACACAACCTCAAGGTGCCCTATAGAGATTTTCCAAGCGTAGCTTAGATGTGACACAAGGACGAAAGTACGGGACATCTAGTGAGGATCGAACTCACTACTCAGTCGTAATTGTTCTAGCGAGACAAGCTTGCTAACCATTACACAACCTCAAGGTGCCCTATAGAGATTTTCCAAGCGTAGCTTAGATGTGACACAAGGACGAAAGTACGGGACATCTAGTGAGGATCGAACTCACTACTCAGTCGTAATTGTTCTAGTGAGACAAGTTTGCTAACCATTACACAACCTCGAGGTGCCCCTGCCACGCCTTATATGACTACTACGGTTTTGTGCAAAAAAAATTCAATTCCAAGAAAATTATTAATGATTTAGTTCTATATAAATTCGTAGTAAAATTTCAGATTAAAATATTCTATTTGCAATATTAGGATAAAAAGAAAAAATTACTATAAATTTACTAAAAAAAACTACTATAATTACTATAAAATTAATATAAAATATTACCATATCTTTTGTCTTCTCACAAAAATCCGTTCGCAGATAGAGACACCTTCTTGTATTAAAAATATTTGAAGTTTAAGTAGAAACGAAGACAATTAAGTGTTTTCTTTTTGAATTACAACTATTTACACCATGCAACACTTTTGATTCACAAACATTTTGTCATTGCTTTTTTTTTTTTTTTTTCGTGAGATAATTGTAACCGAGTTTGGGGCATGGTTTGATCAATGGCCGTAAGTGGTAGAAAATGGTTGAATTCAATTAAAGATTATATCACCGGATAGCTTTGTCTAAATGGATCAAATCATAAAGGTGTAACGTACATTGCCTCCAACGATTATCGTCCTTCGCTTGTATATTTGTTTTTATATCTTTTTTCTTTATTCTCTGATATTAAAGACTTCGCATTTCATGCTCAGTGGTCTGAATGATATCGGGTCTAGATTTCTAAACAGTGCCTCTACGCCTGGCTGCATGACTGTTGCCGAAAAGGCCAAATAGATGTGCAGAGTTGTAGGGAAAATAATTGCAAGGCCAACGGATAAGAATAACAAGGTACTTTGGACAATCTAACGTGCAAAAGGGAACATTTTCCTGCTAGTATCCATGAAAAAGAAACGGCCCAAATCTGAATTGGAATATTTCATATAATACTTCGTATAGCATTATATTTTAATGGGTAAATATTTAAAAAAAAGCTATATATCTATTTGTATTAAAAGGTCTTTTAAAGGTATTTGTAATACAGCAGTTTCTCGGTTTATGAAACATGGCAATTCCTGTATAACGAAGGAACCATGTTTTTAAATCAATTAATTTATAATATTTATGATTTGTAAATTTACAGTGGGCACTGTTTTGTAAAAATAAAAGTATCAATAAGAACATTGGAATGTATATCGTACTGTTCTTTCTTTTTACTATATATATATATATATATATATATATATATATATGTGTGTGTGTGTGTGTGTGTGTGTGTGTGTGTGTGTGTGTGTGTGTTTGAATTGATTGATTCGTTTTCCTCGGCTTATTAATATATTGCGTGTTATTTAAAACCAGAAGATACTGTTTATATTCTAAGGAAGTTTTTTTAGGTATGATAATAATTTAGTGATGAAAGAGTTGCTGATTAACCCATAGCTAGAGGAAAAGAGGTGGATTCATGCCTTTTCCACTTGTATTTGCGCGTACGTGAATATAACGAACCAAACTGGAATTGGAGCTCGGCTCTCCGATTAACAACTGCGAGCCATTATGCATTACGCTATCTGCCGATACAAGGTTAGCACCTTCTATTCCCAAGCAATCACCCAACTAGGTAATGATCAGACTTGAAGTTGCTTAACTTCGGCAATCGGAGACTGGTGTTTCAACGTGATGTGACTGTAAGCTTTATTTACATCTCTGGTCCTCCGTATAGATAATCACTAATCGTTGATTTTATCCGAAATGTGTGAGAACATTAATGCAGGGAAGGAACCGGAGATTTTTTTTTCTTTTACGAAATAAAGTTATGGTAGGTCGCGTCAAACTTCTTATAGCAAAAGTTCAGGAAGTATTAGAGTAAGGAATTATAGTCTGTAATATGATTATTATTTCTAAATATATAAACATTTAGGTAAATAAGAGAAAGTGATTTATTGTTGTAAGATTACCACTTTTTGGTTCTATAAAGGGTATGATTTGAAATACACATTTGAGTTTCCGTTTGCAATAATTCAAGGATGAGAACAGATAATCTACTTTGAAATAAATGTTTATAATGATAAACGGTTTAGTTTACATTAATCCCAATCCTAAAAAGCAAACAAGGGATGAACTTATAATCCTCTAAAAAAAACCGGTGAGATATGTTCGGTCCACTTTCTTCCTCGTTCTTTTGCAGAGGGGTAAAGTGTTATCACATGTTTCCTGCTTAGAATTGGGTTTACATTTCCTCCTAAAGACTCATTCAATTCTATGTTTCTAGAATCTCTACCTAAACACTGAAATTGTATTTACTATAATTTTATCTCAACAGGCCTAGATAGTTTCTCCTATGATCCATTTCACATTCCTCCGAACTCTTTTGAACAGGAGAAGAGATTTATCTCTTCTTTCCTTTTATGGATTGGGTTTCCGGTTCCTTTTAAACTATACTTCTACTTTATGTTTCTAACGTTTCCCCCTAAACTCTGAAATTATATTTACTATTTTCTTTTCTCAGTAGGAGTAGATACGTCTGCCTTTGGGCCTTTTCAAACTCATCCCCACTCTTTTCAACAGGAGTAGAGGTTTATCCCTTGTTTCTTGTTTAGGATTGAGTTTTAGAGAAAATTCTGATGTCTTCTCATTCTCTTTCACTCCCAGTCGCCCCTTGCGTCTAAGCGGACTTACCGCCTTTCTTGGCCTGAATTCATTATAAAACAATTTAAGATATTTTGGGGGCCCAACAGGATTCATTTTGCCTTCATTAGGTGTTATAAGATTTAACAAATAACTCTTTCCTGATTGTGTCCCAAGAATTTCTACTGTTTTTCAAGATTTAAATTATACGTGCCCTTTTTATTTCTTATTCCTTAAAACTTTCTTGTTAGTTACATGCACCGTCCGTGGTAGTTTCACTATCCATCTATAGAATTACATCTCTTTTACCGAAAATCTCGGCTTCGCCATATTAAATTTTCTATCATTCACTGCGATATTAAAGTTTAATATTATAGTTAATAGGATATTTTTTAAGCCTAATTTGTTTTATGTATCATAACACTTAATTTGGTTTCTGAAAGGCACCTTTGGCTTTCCCAAAATATGTGTTACATTATCCGTCGTCCATTAAATCTTTCTAGATAGTTAATTTTCTGTACTTGCTCGGTTTTGCTATTTCAGTTTTGTAGCTGACTTCTTGGACTGGCCTTACCGTTAGATTCCACCATTTACCTACCTTTACTGCGATGTGCGTTCATCGGCAAATATTTTTAGAATACCGTCGAAGGATTACGTAACAGTCAGTCTTTAACAATCAGAATGTGGCATTTGACATTTTGGGGACGTATAAGAGGGAGAGAATGTTTGGAAGACTTAACGTCTCAAGGATACATCAAAGTGATGAGAAGCAATAGATAGCAACGATTTCACTATTTGAAATTTCTTGATTAATCACTGGTAAGGATTTTTTTTTTAAAATTCCACTTCAAGGACCTTCCCCTGGTCTCTTTTTTATTATCTGAGAAGGGAAATTCACCCTTGGAAAAGATAATGTAGTAGTTTTCCGTTTTATTTTTCACGGTTCTTAATGTGAAAGCTTTTGGTCATGTCTAAAGAGCCGAATTTATTCTGCTATTTCTACACGATTTTATGGAGTAAGAGTTGGGATGGATTAATGCAATTTTTAAAGTATGATCTGAACAGTCTAAACAGGAATTGGAATTCACCTCGAGGATTTCAGTTACCGCCGAATTATTTTAAGAGAAAAATAGAAATGACACCAGGAGAATGAGGGGCTGAAAATGTAACATTGAGAAAAAGAGACAGACACAGATGAAACAAGACCTATAGAGAAAAGAAAAAGAGAAAAATCTGGGGAAAATTTACAGAAGAAGAGAAAGAATGACTGAAAAAGGAGAGAGTGAGAACAAGAGTCAGATCAGGAGAAAAAACGAGAACTCCAAATAAATGAGATCATAAATAATACGAAAATAGCTAACGGGAGAATGAGTGATCGAAAACGAAAACTATGAAAAAGAGTGATAGATAAATGAAGAAAACGTGAAATACAAATATATATATATATATATATATATATATATATATATATATATATATATATATATATATATGAACAGAGAAAAACTGGGAGAAATTCAGAGAAATGATAATGGGAGAATGGAAGACAGAAAACGAGAGAGTGAGAAATAGAGACAAAAAAGAAAGGCAACGAGATAGAGAGATAAAAGAGAACAAGAAAAAAACAGGGAGAAACTGAGAGAAACCCGCGGCAGAAAAAAAGAGACAGAAAGAGACTTGGATAAATAGGAAAAAGAGGAAAGCTATTGACCGAAAGAAAGATAAATTAGAAAGAGAGAAAGGATAGTAAAAGAAAAGACATTAAAAGCGAGAGAATAACGAAGGAAAAAAAAGAAAAAAAAAACATGAGATAGAAGAAGATCAAAAAAATATAGAAGGTGCAAAGCATAAGAGTAGAACGAGAAATAGATAGCGATAGATATGAAAGGAAGAGAGAGATGGAGTAAAGAGAAGTAGGCGACAAGAGATGAGTATAATGGAAGGGAGACTGAAGGGTAAACGAGAGAAAGATAAATAAGGGAGATAGGATAACAAAATAAAGGGGGGAATAAAAGACAATGTGAAAGAAAAAGAGGGGGCAGATGGGTATTAGAGAAACAACAGGAAACACACACGTAAATTTTAAAAAAAGGACAAAAGACGAAAGAATGGATAAGAAATGAAGAGGCAACCTTTTGAGAAAAAATAAATGTCACTCATGTTGCTGCTAGGGTGTCATCGCTACTTAAAAGCAACGCATAAGAATGGTCGGAACTTCATTTCATGAGTGTCTCTGGTGCGTTCACAGAAGTTCTGGACTTTTCAAAGAGCCCCACGTTCGTATTTTCATTTCATGCAAGTTTATTGGTTTTAATGCTTTTTTGTATCTGGCAACAATGCGTATCTTCATGCATATAGACTTGTCAACGTGTGAATAAGTAAACACAGAGATCGTAGTACAGTGTGTTGAATGCACTACGCAAAATGCAGACACACAACAAGTTTAAAGATTCCCCTCTCCATCTTGCCATTATTTGATTACTTATCTATCTATCTATCTATCTATATATATATATATATATATATATATATATATATATATATATTATTCCCATTATGCTATAATATCTATCTGTTTATTTATCTATCTTCTCATCATACATATATAAATATGTAAGCAAATATATGGATATAAATCCGACAGTATATTTATCTATCTATCTTTGAAATATAGATAACTAGACTCGTTTCGAAAAACCCTCGAATTTTTGATTTGCTAATCAAATCAATCTCGAGGGAAAAAAAAGGTTTTAAAAAAAGAAAGAGCTACAAACATGAACTTCTGCCGACAAAAAAATCGCACAGATGCAGGTCTGAAGCCCAAAAAAAAAAACCCTGATACGTTTCCCTGACGATCCGTTTAGGTGAAACCTAGGTAGGTTTGTCTGGATCACTAGGTGTATCTATTTATATATATATATATATATATATATATATATATATATATATATATATATATATATATATATATATATATATATATATATATATATATATATATATATATGGACAGATGACAGATGGATGGATAGATAGATAGATAGATAGATAGATAGATAGATAGATAGATAGATAGTCAGATAGATAGATAGATAGATAGATATTATTAAAAACGGCATAGATTTTGTGACGTTTAAATTTAATGATCAATTTTTCCACATAATGAATAATCCTTCTCATGGAGGAAATGCCGTCAAAATCTTTTTGAACATCATTTCGGAAGGAAAGTACAAGAAATATGGCCCAACCTTTCGACGTTCTTAAGTCATCATCAGAGTAGCTCGGGACGATTGATGTGTTTCATAGATAGAGTGAGTCTTGTGATACAGGCAAAGGGTGTTTTGACGTAGGCAAAGAATGCTGTGACGAGAGTGACGTGTGCTTTTTTCTTTTTCTTTGGGAACTTCTTCCTTATCTCACATTAAATATTATCACGAATAATCGACCATTTAAATTACTCGACAAAATATCTGTCGTTTTTCACAATAATAGCCTTAAAATAAATCTCTGCCTATATATATATATATATATATATATATATATATATATATATATATATATATATATATATGTAACTATACTCGTCTCGAAAAAACATTCGAATTTTTGATTTGCCAGCTTTTCCCTAACGATCCGCTTAGGCGAAATCTGGGTGGGTTTATCTTGCTCACTGGTTTGACTATATATATATATATATATATATATATATATATATATATATATATATATATATATATATATATATATATATATATTTATATAAAAAGACAGACCACATTAAGGTTCCATGTAATAAAGCTATTTCACCATAACCCCTTTAACAGGGTTCTGGATCATCAGACTTTACTTCCAAAAGCTGAAATGAAAAACCTTATGAAATGGTGAAATATCTTATTACATGGAATCTTAACGTGGTCTGTCTTTTATTCAAACATATCTGCTCTGAATTTTACATTGAGCTCTCTGGATATCATCCTCCTCAGGTCTACCCATACGGATTACCTAAATTTGCATAAACTATATATATATATATATATATATATATATATATATATGGATGGATGGATGGATATATGCTTTATTTAAGATATTCGGAAAAACTTCAAAATCGCATCGCATTTGCAGTCGTGTTCCTTGAGTATCAACGCATCTCATTTATCGCATTGTAAATTACTTGCGAATGAACAATTTATTTAGATTTAAAAGGAAAATGCAGCATAACATAAGATAGGTAACATAGCATAACATAGGTAAACCAATTTGTAATTCGCTTATTGAGAAAGGACAATTATTTTGCCTAACAAATTTTTCCGCATCAATGCATTATTATATATGCTTTGCGAGAAAGATGTTCATAATATTACTATGACCGCAGATGAAATTTCTTTGTATATATATACACACGTATGTATAATCCCATTAATACTGATTTGAGTAAATTTTTATTCCTTATAAATAAACCGAAATAATGAATATTTCAATTAGATTTTTCCCTTTGTAAATACGTTTGAAATTCATTATATTGGACAATACATTTATATATTGCACTAGGATTCTCTTTAACGGAACAATATTTTCTGAATAGCGAAGATGCCACTTATTTTAATACATCATTTGTATCATTCCTTGTCAAATAGGTACTGTGGACCCATTACATAAATATGTTCCCTTTTAATTTTAGGTAATTTAAAGAGGCGATTTGATTTCGAGAAAAATTAGGCCTCTCGGTCGTAGTTGGAAGCAGCTGAAATGCGTTCCATTTACTCCAATTTTCTGTGGAAAAGAAAACGACTGGCCTGTAATGTCTTTCAAGCATAATGTTAGAAACTGATTAGGCGCGTTATAATTGAGTCAGCGCTAAAGCGAGAATCTCGCGATACAAACGAGAGTAAACAGGACTTGATTCAAGGATGTGAACGTTTATGTGAATGCAGGTTAAACCAATATTTCGTTCTTCGTTTGTAAAATTGAAAACGAAATAGCCTCTTATTTTCTCCACAAGGTTTCCATTTTGGAAGCATATTTGTGCTAAAATCTCACATATATTTGAAGATATAAACTATGTTTGCTTTAATTTCCAAAATGAATAATACATAAGGATTCGAAGGGATCTAATCTGGGTCAGGTGTATAATGCATGACCATTGTTAGATTTGTAAGATTAATGCATGTGCAGGATGAATAATGTTGCTAGTAGCGTGTTATCCCTAACCGCATGACGCACGGGATGAGAACGGCACCATCATGCACCGCGCATGGCCCCAAGGATTCACGAAGATGCATCGAATCTCCAAGAATCCATAACATCATTAGCTTTGATTTGGTAGTATTATGTAATTCAAAAGAGAATTCAACAGAGAATAATAGTTTATCAACTCACAATATGGCTTCCCGGTTTGAGGAGAATCATAGCATGAACTGATAAAGCGATATCCTCTTACACATACACAAGCATCCCATATATATATATATATATATATATATATATATATATATATATATGTGTGTGTGTAATCAATTATATATATATATATATATATATATATATATATATATATGGGATGCTATATATATATATATATATATATATATATATATATATATATATATATATATGTGTGTGTGTGTGTGTAATCAATTATATATATATATATATATATATATATATACGTAGTAAACCGTTGAGTCCTGTTAACACAAAATTGAATTTAAAATAGGTTAAAACTGACTCACAAAAGAGCGCTCAATGTTTATTTCCATTAAACAGAGCAAATATTCTTTATATATATATATATATATATATATATATATATATATATATATATATGAATATATATATATATATGTGAATATATATATATATATATAATGAATATATATATATATATATATATATATATATATATATATATATATATATATATATATATATATATATATATATATATATATATATATGATGGATTGATAAAAGGATTACATTATTAATTCTTCTCACACTCACCTAGGAGTTAAATATCTGCTCAGACAAGGCTCTCTGAAATGAATTGTCAACCAGCTTAAGATAACGCAACTCTGGCTTGAAAAACAATGTGTATTGACGCTAGTCACAACACATCATAAAACGTATTTGCTTTTGAAACATAGCATGAGCACGTTTTGCGATGAGGTTGTAACTCTATTTTCGACCGGATGTTTACAGTTTCAACTACGCCATTCCAAGTTGTTTGATATCTGAAATGTATTATGTTCACGAATTTTACTTAACACTTATCAGCTCAAAAGACAGGAAGTCAGATTTTTGTAATTCTATGATAGATTGAAGAGTTTCACTCTTTTCCTCGCAGCTTGGCAAACATGCCCAAGTATCAAGTATTAGTGGATTAATAATAATAATAATTATAATAATATATTAATCATATTATTATTATTAATTCACTACTAATAATTTTATATATATATATATATATATATATATATATAATAATACACAGATATATTATTATTATTATTATTATTATTATTATTATTATTATTGTCATTTATTCACTGATACTTGATACTTGGGTATGTCTGCCTACCTCCGGGTGAATGAGTGACAATTTGGCGTGCGGAACTCACACCAAAATTTCGGAAATTTATTTTTGTCGAGTTTGTAAATTTTGACAAAAAATGTTAGCGATACATTCACCATCACAAAATGCTGTAAGGATTTCATTACATGTCAGCGTGTTGCAAAGAATTAAAGATAGGAAAATTCCATATTGCTAGTGAAGCGGAATAAAACTAATGAAGAAGATCTGATCTATGGCTTGAACACATATATTTTATAGAATCATGTATGGTTTATGCAACGCTTTAATTCACTGGCCATGTGTCATTTTGGATTCGCAAGTTCTGGAAAGTTATATGAGCTTGTTTATTGCAAGAAAATATCAAGGGTTACAAACGTGGATAAGACGAAAGAAATTTAACGTCATTAAAGAAACTAAAAGACTGGACAATGTTTATTCGTGAGGATGTTTACCGCTTCCGTTATGACTACACATTTATTAACTTCGTTATTTCTGTCTATTTAAAAGATTGTATTTTGTGAAAAAGAAAACACTGTCAGTCTACTTATAACCTTTCTTCTTTTATGTATCATGTCTCTTCAGCATGTGGACGGTCATGGCTCTCAACTACTACTTTCTCTAAGATATACCTCCTTGCTCTCCATCCAAGTCTCATTTCTGAAATTCAGTCACACAATTTCTTCTTGTTTCTCTCTGCCTATCTTACATTGTGAGTGACAATTTCTCGAAGCCTGCTTTACTCATTATATGTCACAGAAATTCTGAATCCAAATATTAATGTACGTTTTGTTTCCGTTTTTCTTAAACCTTACAGGTAACTCACATCCTACGGCCATCTTTGTCTAATTATATTTATGTGAAACAATATTGTCATTGTCTCATTTTTTTTTTTTTTGGTATGGAATGAAATTGTTCAGTATTTCTTAATTTATATGAGGATAAATCACTTTATATTTCTTATAATTGAGCTTTCCTATTGCATCGTTAATTTTTTTGAATGCATCTTTTAATATTTCAATCCGCCTCCTAATGCCGTTGTCATATTTTCCGACCTTTTAAAAAAAAATCTGAGATGGTTAAATTTTTTAACTATTTTCACATCTAGTGAGAAGAAAGATCTAACGGTAAACTCCAAGAAGACAGAGTGCATGGTCATCAGAAATAGGATGAGCCCGAAATTCGATTTGAAGGTCGGAAAAGACTAGAATCAAGCAGACACAGAAGTTTAAATATCTGTGTAACGTCTTCACAGAGGAGGGTAAATGCGACATGAAATCCGTAGACGTATTGGGATGGCCAAGGCCATATTCCAAAAGCTGGACAGAGTACTGCAAGACAACAGGATTTCTTTGGTAACAAAGAAAAATTACTGAACTCTAACGTGACATCTGTCCTTCTTTACGGCAGGGAATGTTAGACGATTTCCTCAAAGATGAAGAAGAGACTCGAGGCGACAGAGATGCTAAAGATAACATAGGTCGAGCGTGTGAGCAAAGATGAGGTCTTAGAGAGGTTGCAAAGGTTATACTTAGTGTCAAGATGGCT